ATAAAAAATTTTATCCAATTCAAAAAAAATTTTTATACACAAACAAAATATATGATATTTAACATATACTTGATTGTTTCCATTAAAAAAAAAGTGGCATATAAAAAAAAAAATAAATTGCAGGTATTAATGGACTTTTTTTAATTACAAAAATATATGAAATATTTTGTATTTTACAATTAAAATTTTTCCCTTTTTTTACATTCAAATGAGTTTAATTTTTTCCTTTTTTGTACATTTTCAACTGCCATTTCAACAGCACAATATATGCATACGGGACTATTTCAATTTTTAATTCAATTAAAAATAAAAAAAAAACATTCCAAACAAATTTTTTGTTTTAAAAGGAAATTTAAAATATTACAATGAGAATTTTGATTTATAAACGTTTTTATTTTTTTAAAGCAAAAAAAAATAATGCAATCCAATTGCAAAAAAAGAAAACAAAAATAAGGAACACAGTTTAGTTTTTGGGAAATTTATTTTGAATTAAAATTTATTTTTATTACATTTAAAAATTGTTATAAATATCTGTCAAAAAACACGGAAACCTTATTTTGAAAAAAAAATTTTTTTAAAGAAAATATGTTTAAAGAAATTTCTTTGATAATTTTATGAAAGAAAAATCTGTAAAAGAAAGAATTTCTTTTAAATGTCAAAAATTAAAAAAAAGGAAAAGATTCTTGAATTAAATATATTGATTAAAATATTTAAAATTAATTTTTAGGAATTTGTTTTTGTTATATATTAAAAAAAAAATTAAAAAAATTATCAATGAAAATGTTGAATAAAGATTTCCAAAAACATTGTTGAAAAATTACATAAAATGAATTTTATATAAAAAAAACATTGAATTTCTTAGAAAAAAAATTTGGAAAGAAAAAAAAAAGCAAAAGAAAAAAAAAAAAAGAATCGAAGAGATTAAACTAAGAAAAGTTTTCTCAATCCTTTTATAGATTCATTTTTGGCCTAATTTTGAAATAAAAAACTTTTTATAAAAAATATAATCAAATCAATATATTTTAGATCACTTAAATTTTGAGCGAAAAGAATTTATAATTAAAAATTTTAAAAAAAAATTTTAAGAAGGTCATTTCGGTTCAATTAAAAAATTTTTTTGAAAAATTCAGGAAATAAAAAATTTGTTAATCCAATAAAAAATAAATTTGTAAATTTTGAAAAAATAAATGTCAAAATTTAAAATTTTGAAAAAAATAAATTTTAAATCATATTTTTTTTAACCTTTTTTTTTTTAAATTTATTTTCTAAAATATAATAAGTCAAATAAAAAAAATTGAATGAAAGTGGAATAATAAATTCAAATAAATATTGCCAAATTTCAAAAAATATTCGATAATTTTTTCTTTTTTGTTTTTTTTTTTTGGAGGTTTTGTAGATAGCAGGGAGGGAAAATTGAGCATGAGTTTTGACCTGTTTCGAAAAGGCCGGAATGTTTTAAATGGGAAAAACTCAGATTGAAAGATACTATAAATGTAAAATACATGAGACCAATGGATAAAATGAACCAAAGCGCAGCAATGGAAAAATTATCTTTTCCTGGGAATCTTTAATATTGTTAGATATGATATATATTAAGAGTTAGATTCACGTGACAAAGAATGAATCTTGTAAGAGATTCCTTTTTAAGTCAATTTGAAATGTTAAAGGACCCTTGAGGTTTAAAAAAAAAATAATTCCCGTCAAAAATAATTCGGATTTGAACTTGGAGTTGAGTTCGAATTCAGTCCAAAAGTAAACAAGATTTTGTTAAATTCAATTTAAATGGACAGGACAGATTTTCTATACAGTTAATCGATATTTACTGGTTTAAGTAGAAAGAAATGTGTGATACTGCAAAAAAAAAGCCTTCTTGTCAGCCATGTTTGGAAAAAATTATTGATAGCTGATGTCACGGTTTAATGGAAAGCGGAGTTCGAATTCCAGTCGAATCCATTACATTCACTTACGTGCTAATACCTTGGAAAGGTAACAATCTCTTCTCCCCCCCTCAGCTATGGGTAAATAGCAGGACAGACCGGGTTCTATATTTGATGGTAACATCCTACTGCAGAAAGAAATGGCAACCTATTCCAGGAAAAAAAAAATCTGGGTTGTCAGTCATGTATAAAAAGATACATGATGACCTAAACGTGTATCATGGATACTTACGTGCTAATACTCTTGGGAAAGGCATGAATCGTCTTCTCCCAGCTATGGGTAAATAGCAGGACAGACCGTGTTCTATAACCTCGGATGGCAACTGGTCTACTAAAGAAAGAAATGACAACCTACCGCTGAAAAAAAATCTGCCTCGTCAGTCGTGTATCGAACAAATACATGATCGGCTAAGCGTGTATCACTCATAGCACATAACTGACTGACTGAGCTGGCGTCTATACAAAACAACACTTTGCGTCTACTCACTGGATCTAACCAAATACCAGGCTACAGATTTGAGTTATATGGAAATAACTCAGATATCCGGAAGAGGCATGACACGTGGAACTAGAACAGTCTACCCCGCTAGACAAAACAAAGGGTTCTGTTCTTTTAGTTTTATTTTTGTGTCTGGTATCACTACTTTTGCCATCTTCAAGTCTTATGTTGTTACGATTGCGCCCGCCAATGATTAATCTTGGTAGGACTTGTAATTCTCTCAGAATCGCTGCGCTATAGAATGAATGTCCGTTTCAAATATGTCAAGCCATTCTTTTCTAAAGATAGGTAATCATCAACCACCCCCTTTTTTTGCATTCCCAAATCCTTGACCATGACCTTTCCGGCTGAATGTTGGGTTTTGAGTTTCATCAGCCGAGTCGAGGCACTGCTGCTTAATGTCATGCTCATGGTCGTGTCATAATGTCGTAAAGGACAAAAGACCTGATTTTATTAATCCTTGAAATATGGCGGCAAGTGGATATTTGTTATTCCTATATATATTTTAAAAGAATTTTTTGACGTAAATTCTGAAAGAATATTACCGGCATTGCATAAGCCTCACTCTGGATCGCACTTAATTTCAGACGAGGGCATCAAGGAAGACAGGTGCAAAGTTTATCTAGGTTAGCATCCACACCACCAGGAGACGATAATCTATAAGAGGACTGTCTATCATACATCGCATATGAGACTATAAGGTCCACGTTCCGATTGGACGCTTCGGATCTTACAGATCGACTGTAATTGACAGAATCTAGAGTTGAAAAAATCTAAGGCTTGTGTTATAATTAGTCGGGACAATGATGATATACATTTAAAAAATATTAACAAAAAAAAAAAAAAACCCTAATATTTCTTTTATTTCTTCTTTCTTTCTTCCTTTTTTACCGCTTTCTCTTACTTCCTTTCTCTTCTTTCTTTTTCTTTCTTTCTCGTGTTTTTCTCTCTTTTCTTATTTCAACTAGTCTTGAAGGCCTCTACAGAATTGGTCATGGCAATAATATTAACCGTTTTCTTATAATGAAACATTCGGAATTCATTGACCGGGCAGCCAGAAATGTTGTCATTTGAAACATATAACATCTTTCTTTTAAAACAATTTCACATGGGAAATATTTTTCTCAAGTTCATTCGCTGCTATCGTTCTTTCCAGTACGGACGGTGGTGGGGGCCCTTCCTATCTTTTATTTGATGTCGCTGAATTGTCAAAATCTTGATTATGTCAATATCTTTTTGTTTGAGTTACATGCGCTATCCATTTTAACTGTTTCTGATTTTGGAAATTATCATGCGATGTCGTATCTGTTACTTGGCACAATAATTTGAGATTCTGTAGCGCCAGCCTACAAATTTCAAAGAAGTGTCGTCTTCACAAAGCCGTACATCCATCACTCACTCAAAGCCACTTTTAATCATTGATCTTGGAGTAATCTATGTCCACCATGAAAGTCCCGATCTGACGAGGCTATTCATGAACAAGACCAAAAATTTCACATTAATGTTTTGGTTTAGTAGCAATGTGAGGTATTGTGTGAAACTAACTTTAGCATAGACTTGTTTAACGAAAGACATGACTTACCTCGGAATTCGAAACGAGCGCGAACGTGTCTTGCCTGCAAAGTGATGACAAAAAGAAATATGGCCGTTATTGAAGACACAATTTATGCGCGCCTATCTTGTCCAAAACGAGACGATATTTGCACACATGCAAATTTTGGCCGTATTAAAATAGCATAAAAAGCAGGTTGCCAGCAGTCATTCGGCGGTCAGCGTGCAATAGAGTTGGACGTACGGATTGACAGACGGACAAAGTCAAAGTGAGCTGGTGTCTGTTTCACAACTGCCCAGTGTAACGATTGAGAAAGGGATTCATGCAATCCATTTCCTTGAGGCGACCGAAGAAGAAGAAAAAAAGCTGGTGTACGAGCGAACGTCGCACTGCGCTTTTTGACCTCCCTCATCATTTATTTTTTGCTACACCTTGTGTCCCGCTTTCTTTATCTCCTATACTAATTTTGTAAACTAATCTAAGTGTTTGGTGTTTAATAAATCTATATCCAGAATTTTTTTTATGATGGATTCAATGTCCGTCCCATCATGGCTTTAAATGTTATTCCAATGTTAGTTGCTGTTTTTTGGAAAGGTTTATCTTAAGTCCTATTTCTTAGAAGGTTTGGTAGACGTACTTAATTGTCTGTTCAGCAACATTTTGGAAAATTTTAATGATCAGTGCCCATCTCTTCACACCTGTCCTTGTATATGCATACTGCTTAATCTTGGAAAGATATTAAATAGGCAAGAGTTAAAGGGAGATAACTGAGACATCCAGGAAGAGGCATGGCACGTGGAACGAGAGCAATCTAACCAAGTGAACGAAATAAAGGTTTGGGTTTGAAATTCTCGGAAAGCCAGAGAGTATAACGGACGAAACGGTGTGAATATGGCAATGAAGATGAAGATGAGCATAACAGTCCGAATAATGGCTCAGAGACATAGATGTGTTAAATATTTATTTTTTCCTTTGGAAATTGAAGCATACCTTACTTAGCAATGTGCGAAGGATGGTAAGTGAAGAAGTTATAGATTTTTGACATGGTTGTGAATTGTATAGATTTCGCGTCTGATGGATGAAAAGAAATGGCTTCTTGCGCGTCAATTTTAAATGTGAAATCACATGAGAAAACAACTTAATCGAATTAATTTCGGAGACAATTGACACGTCTCAGATGCGCAGATAAATATTAATGCAATATATTTCTGAAATGTCGTTTCTCATAAAGAAAAATAAAAGGGTGTGTGAAGGTATGTATTTTTTCATTCTTTCTTTCTTTCTTTAGCTATTTTTATTCTTTTTGTTGTTTTTGTTTCTTTCATTCTTTCTTTCTTTAGTTATTTATTTCTTTCAATTTTCTTTCTTTCTTTCATTTTTTGTTTTTTCTTTTTTCTGAAAGTTGATTTTTTTTTTCTTTCCGTTTCTTTCTTTCCTTTTTTTTAAATTTTATTTCATTAATTTGTCTCTTTTTTTTTTTTCATTCTTTTCTTTTTTTTTTTTGTTTTTTCTTCTTTCTTTTTTATTCTTTTTTTTTTCATTCATTCTTTCTTTCTCTTTTTGTTCTTTCTTTATTTATTTCTTTTTTGTTCTTTCTTTCTTTCTTTTTTTCTTTTTTTTTTTTTTTTCATTCTTTTCTTTCTTTTTTCTTTTCTTTTTCTTTTTTTTCTTCTTTCTTTCTTTTATTCTTTCTTTTTTTTCATTTTTTTTTCTTTCTTTTCTTTTTTTCTTTCATTTTTTCTTTTTTTGTTCTTTCTTTTATTTTTCTTTTGTTCTTTCTTTCTTTCTTTCTTTTGTTCTTTCTTCGTTTTTTTCTTTCTTTTTTCATTTTTCCTTTCTTTATTTTTTTTTTTCTTTATTTTTTTTTTTTCTTTTTTTTTTTTTTTTTTTCTTTCTTTTTTCTTATTTTTTTTGTTTTTCTTTCTTTCTAAAAAAAAATTCTTTCTTTTATTTTCTTTTTTCTTTTCTTTTTTTTCTTTTCTTTCTTTTTTTTTTTTTATTTTCTTTTTCATTTTGTTTTCTTTCTTTCTTTCTTTTATTTCTTTTCAAAAAAACTTTTCTTTTTTTTTTTCTTTCTTTTTTCTTTCTTCTTTCTTTCTTTTTATTTTCTTTCTTTCTTTTTCTTTCTTTTTTTTCTTTCTTTTCTTTTTTTTTTCTTTCTTTTTTCATTCTTTTATTTTCTTTTTCATTTCTCTTTCTTTTTTTTCTTTCTTTTTTTTTTTTCTTTCTTTTTTTCTTTCAATTTCTTTTTATTCTTTCTTTCTTATATTTTTATTTTTTCTTTCGTTCTTTTCTTTCTTTTTTTTCTTTTTTTTTTATTTTTTTTGTTTTTCATTTTTTTTTCTTTCTTTTCATTCATTTTTTTTTTTTATTTTTTTTCTTTTTCTTTCTTTATTTATTTCTTTTCTTTCTTTTTTTTTCTTTCTTTTCTTTCTTTTATTTCTTTTTTTCATTCTTTTCTTTCTTTTCTTTTTTCTTTCTTTTGTTCTTTTTTTTATTCTTTCTTTGTTTTCTTTCTTTCATTTTCTTTCTTTTTTTTTTTTTTTTTTTTAAACTTTTTGTTCTTTCTTTTTTTTTTTCTTTCTTTTTATTCTTTCTTTTCACTTCATTTCTTTCTCAAGTTTTTCTTTCTTTCTTTTGTTCTTTTTATTTTTTTCTTTCACTTTCTTTTTTTTTTCTTTTTTTTCTTTTCTTTTTTTTTCTTTTTTTTTTTCTCTTTCTTTTTTCTTCTTTCTTTTTATTCTTTCTTTTCATTTTTCTTTTCTTTTTTTCTTTTTCTTTTATTTTCTTTTTTTGTTCTTTTTTTTCTTTATTTCTTTTTTTTTTCTTTTTCTTTTTTTTCTTTTCTTTCTTTCTTTCTTAGGTTCTTTCTTTTCTTTTTTCTTTTATTCATTTTTTTTTTTTTCTTTTTTTTTCTTTCTTTTGTTTTTTTTCTTTCTTTTTTTTCTTTCTTTTTTTTTCTTTCTTTCTTTTTTTTTCTTTTTTTTATTCTTTTTTTTTCATTATTTCTTTCTTTCTTTTCTTTTTTTTTTTTTTTCTTTCTTTTTTTTTCTTTCTTTTTTTTTCTTTTCTTTTTTTTTTTCTTTCTTTTTTCTTTTCTTTCTTTTATTCTAATTTTTTTTTCTTTCTTTTCTTTCTTTTTTTTTTTTTTCGTTTTATTTTCTTTCTTTTTTTCTTTCTTTTTTTCTTTTTTTTCTTTCTTTTTTCTTTCTTTTTTCTTTCTTTCTTTTTTTTTTTTTTTTCTTTCTTTCTTTTTCTTTTCTTTTTTTCTTTCTTTTTTTTTCTTTCTTTCTTTTTTCTTTTTTCTTTCTTTATTTCTTTCTTTTCTTTTTTTTTTTTTTTTTTCTTTTTTCTTTTGTTCTTTTTTTTTATTTCTTTCTTTTCTTCTTTTCTTACTTTCTTTCTTTTATTCTTTCTTTTTTCTTTCTTATTTATTTTTTTTTTTTCTTTCTTTTTTCTTTCTTTTATTTTTTTTTTCAAATTTTTTTTTTTTCTTTCTTTCTTTTTTTCTTTTTTCTTTCTTTTCTTTCTTTTCTTTAATTTTAAAAAAAATTTTTGTAATTTGTTAATTTTCTTTTTTTTTTAAAAAAAATTTCTTTCTTTTTTTTTTATTTTAAATTCTTTTTTTCTTTCTTTTTTTATTTCTTTCTTTTCTTTTTTTTTTTTCTTTCTTTTTTTTTTTTTCTTTTTTTATTTCTTTCTTAATTTTTTCTTTATTCTTTCTTTTCATTCATTCATTTTTTCTTTTTCTATTTTTTTCTTTTTTTTTATAGCAGAAAAATATTTTTAAATTTATTCTTTTTTTCATTTTTCTTTTCATTTTCTTTTTTCTTTCGTTTTTTCTTTCACCTTTTTTATTTCTTTCATTTATTTTTCTTTTCTTTTATACATTTTTTTTCTTTTTTTTTCATTTCTTTCTTTTTTTTCTTTAAAGACAAAGGAAATTTTTTATCATTTTTCTTTTTTTCTTTCTTTTTCTTTCCAGAAATGGAAATTCTTTCTTCTTATTTCTTTCTTTTTTTTTATTTATTTTTTTTTCATAATTCTTTCTTTCTTTCTTTCTTTCTTTCTTTTGTTGAATTTTTCTTTCTTTCTATTCTTTCTTTTTTTTTCTTTTCTTTTATTCTTTCTTTATTCTTTCTTCAAAACGGAAAATTTTCTTTCTTTTATTCTTTCTTTTTTTTTTTCTTTTTTATTTTTCTTTTTAAAAACAATTTTTTTTTTTTTTTTTTTTTCTTTTATTCTTTCTTTCTCATTTTTTTTTTTCTTTCTTTCTTTCATTCTTTCTTTTTCACCATTTTTTCTAATTTCTTTTCTTTCTTTAAATTCTTTCTTGAATTCTTATTTCTTAAAATTCTTTTTTTCTTTCTTTTTTTTTGAATTTAAAATTTTTTTTTCTTTCTTTAAAATCAAATTTTTTCTTTATTTTTTCTTTTTAATCTTTTCTTTTCTTTTATTTCTTTCTTTTTTTCTTTTTTCTTTTTTTTTTTCTTTTTTTTTCTTTTTCTTGAATTTTTTTTTTTTTTTTTTTTTTGTTTTCTTTTTTTCTTTTTTTATTTATTTCTTTTTCTTTCTTTCTTTTTTTTTTCTTTTTTTTCATTTCAATTTCTTTTTTTTCTTTCTTTAAATGTTTCTTTCTTGGATTTTTTTGTTTTTTATTATTGGAATTTTTCATTTTTTCTTGCAATTTTTTCTTTCTTTCTTTTTTTTTTAAATTTTTCTTTCTTTTTTTTTTTTTTTTTTTTGTTTATTTTTTCTTTTTTATTCTTTTTTTTTTTTTCTTTTTTTTTTTTTTTTTTTTTCCGCCGTTTTCTTTGATTTCTTTTTTTCTTTCTTTTTTCTTTTCATTCATTTTTTTTTCTTTATTTCTTTCTTTTTTTTTTCTTTCTTTTTTCTTTTTCTTTTCATTTCTTCTTTTTTTAGATTTTTTTCTTTGTTTACCTTCTTTTTTTCTTTTTCTTTTCTTTCTTTTTTCTTTTTTCTTTACACATTTTTTTCTTTTTTTTATTTCACACACTTTTTTTTTTCTTGAAATTTTCTTTCTTTTTATTTTTTCTTTAGTAGAAGGAATTTTTTTTTAAATTATCGAAATTTGTCAATTTTTCTTTCTTTTTTTTTTTTCTTTTTTTCTTTCTTTGTTTTTCTTTCTTTCAAAAAAACTTAAATTGCTTTCTTTTTACTTTTTTTCATTTTTACAAATTTATTTCATTTTTTCTTTTTATTTTTCTTTTCCCGCGATTTAAAATTTTTTTCAATGAAATTTCTTTTTTTTCTTTTTTTTTCATTCTTTTTCTTGAGGTTTTTTTCTTTCTTTTTTTTTTTTCTTTCTTTCTTTCTTTTTTGACATAAATGTTTTTCTTTTTTTTTTTTCTTTCTTTTTCAACATCTTTCTTATTTTTTAAAAAAAGCAAACTTTAAATTTCTTTCTTTTTTTTCTTTTCTAAATTTCTTTCTTTTATTTTTTTCTTTTTTTTCTTTCTTTTTTTTATTTCTTTTCATTTCTTCTTTTCTTTTTTTTCTTTTCTTTTTTCTTTATTTTTAAATTTTCTTTTCTTTCTTTCTTTCTTATTAAAAAATTTCATTCTTTCTTTTTTTTGATTTCTTTCTTTCTTTCTTTTTTTTCTTTCATTTTCATGAAGAATTTTCTTTCTTTCTTTTCTTTTTTGTTTTTCATTTTTCTTTGACTTTTTTTTTTTTTTTTTCTTTGGTTTATTTCTTTTTTTTTTTCTTTCTTGTTTTCTTTTTTTTTAATTTTTCTTTCATTTCTTTTTCTTTTCTTTCTTTTTCTTTCATGAATTTTTTTCTTTATTTATTTTTTTTTTCTTTTTTCTGTTTTCTTTCACATTTTTTTTTTTCTTTTCTTTCATTCTTTCTTTAAAAAATTTTTTTTTCTTTTTTTTATTTTTTTTTTTATTTCTTTTGTTTTCTTTTCTTTTGTTTTTTTCTTTTTTTTTTTCATTCATTCTTTTTTTCTTTCATTCTTTTTTTCTTTTTTTTTTTCTTTCTTTTCTTTATTCTTTTCTTTATAGATTTTTTTAAATTCTGTTCTTTCTTTCTTTCTTTCTTTCTTTGAAGATTATTTTTTCTTTCTTTTTTTCGATTTTTAATTTTTTCTTTTTTTTTCTTTCTTTTTTTCTGAAAAAGAATTTTCTTTCTTTTTTTTTTCATTTCTTTCTTTTTTCTTTTTTCTTCTTTTTTAGAATTTCTTTTTATTTTTTCTTTTCATTCATTCATTTTTTCTTTTTTCGTTTTCTTTTCTTTCTTTTGTTTTTTCTTGATTTTTTTTTTCTTTCTTTTTTCTGTTCCATTCTTTTTTTGTTCTTTCTTTTATTTGAACTTTTCATTTCTTTTTTTTTTCTTGGGATAAATTTTTCTTTTAACATTTCTTTCTTTTGTTCTTTCTTTATTTTATTTCAATTCTTTTTTAAAAAATTCTTTCTTTGATAAAAAATCTTTTATTTATTTCTGGATCATTTCTTACTGTAATTCTTTCTTTCTTTCAATCCTTTTTTCATTCTTTTTTCTTTCTTTCGTGTTTTTCCTTCTTCCATTCTTTCTTTCTTTCATTCTTTCTTTCTTTCTTTCTTTCTTTCCAGGAACTGAGTTGGTTTTTAACTACTGATAAACACTTTGTCTTGCTTACAACCATTCCTCACTTATCGACTTATCTGTTTAACGACCCCGGACTTACGAGTAATAAAATCTCATAAAATATTCACAAATAGAATTTTATTTTTAAAAATCAGAGCATTCCGATGTCTTGTTTGTTTACTTATATGGCTGAGGAATTTAATTTATAACTTATAGGTTTCTCCAAACTTAACGACTCCTCTATAATAATATATTTCTCTTATAGATGTATATACATACACACATGTAATATATATATATATATATATATATATATATATATATATATATATATGTGTGAAAAGTAATCAGTTTGTCTGACGATCGCAAAAAGTCCGTGAAACCCAAAAAAGAAAATTTCACATAAAAAACTATATATATATATATATATATATATATATATATAAATATATAATTTATCTTAATTATAATCGTACTTCTGAACATATGTAAAATATCCTAGCAAAAAATTTATAGAAGAAAAACATAAAACCATAGCGATATTCGAAAAGCCGAGATGGCACAAGGCCGAAAGTATGGGGCACCTATTGAGGATCGAACTCACTTTCATTCGTAATTGTTCTTTGGCTTTTGGAGCTTGCTAATAAATGATTTTCCAAGCGGAGCTCAGATGTGGCACCTAGTGAGGACCGAACTCACTACTCAGTCGCAATTGTTCTAGCGAGACAAGCTTGTTAACTATTACACCACCTCGAGTTGACCACAGACTGTATTGTATGTTGTATGAAGACTATGATCAAGAATGTTTTCTCTTTCGTTAGACTAATTGAACTGAATAAATAAAGCGGAAAAATAAATGAAAATTTAGTTTCGTTAATTTTGTTTAGCGCCATATCAACATCTCTATAGCTTATATAATGCTGATATTTAAATATTTTGTACGCAAATTTATATATTATATATTATTATTATTATTATATATATTTTGTACATAATTTCGATGTATATTTTAGAAGATATAGAGTTTACAGATGATAAAATGTAAGGTTGGTAAATGTAAAAATATAGCATTACTAGCAATCTCAAAAACATGTATTGTTGAAATTTGAAAAAATGTATTGCTGTTAAATTTATTATATAAATGTATTGTTAGTAATTTTGCTATAAAATTTATTGCTGGTAATTTTACTATAAAAATAATCCTGGTAATAATGTTGGTAATTTTATTATATAACCTATTGCTGGTAATCATACTTATAAAACCCAGGTTGTGTGTGTGTGTGTTCGTTTATATATTGGATCGGATTTCCTACATTTTCCAACCGATTTCAACAAAACTTCACAGGACTACGTAAAATTACCTTTGTGGTGGTTCTGACAGTGCCAAAATTGAAAAACACAATTGTTTTTGCACGAAATCAATTTGAAAACACGATTAAGAGGCATCGCTGTCGCGAGAATGAAAGGGGGACAACTCATATCGAGTTATACTTATTATAAAACCCAGGTTCTTGTGTGTGTGTGTGTGTGTGTGTTGTGTGTATGTGGATGTGTATTTTTATATTTTTTCAACCGATTTCAACAAAACTTCACTTTTTTTTGGCAGGTAGTGTTTTTATTGTCTTGCACACTTTTTTTCTTTATTTTTACATTCAGAATGCTTTAAAAATTCCATTTACAAGACAATTGTTTATTAAAATTCTATTCAATCGGTAGATTCATAACGATTGAAAACAATGTTTTTGTTTGAGTTTGGTTTGACCAATTCGTAAAAAAAAAAAAAAAAAACTATTTAAGACATGCGTGTCCGTCAACCTTAAACAATAATCTTTGTCAATTTTATTTTTCAGTCTTTATGATGGTCAATACTTGATCTATCATTGTTACATCCCGGGAAACGCCGGGTCTACTGCTAGTTTACTATAAAATGTATTGCTGATAATTTTACTATAAACATATAATGCTGTTAATTTTACTATAAATTGTATTGCTTGCAATTTTACTTTACAAATGTCTTCTGATAATTTTACTATAAAATGTACTGATGGTAAATTTACTATACAGATATACTTCTGGTAATTTTACTATAAAAATGTATTACTGGGAATTTTACTTTAAAAATGTACTGCTGCTAGTTTTATTATACAAATGTATTGCTGGTAGTTTTACTATACAAATGTGTTGCTGGTAATTTTACTATAAAAATGTACTGCTGTTACTTTTAGTATACAAATTTATTGCTAATAATTTTACCATAAAAGTGTACTGCTGTTAATTTTACCATAAAAATTGTTGGTAATTTTAGTATAAAAATGTATTGCTTGTAATTTTACCATTGAAATGTATTTTATACTTTCGTCGTGTTTTGATATTTCTTTAGGGCTTCCCATATTTTCCCATATCTGAAAGCCTAATAGGTGCTACTTCCCCGGATCAGGGTGGATCTGGGATCAACAGCGATTAAGACGTGATTGCACGTTCATTAAAACCTCCAGTCTCCCGATCAGAGGTACTCCGGGTCGATGTAGTTTACCGTTATATCCAAGACGATGAATTTACAGTATTCACATGTAATGTACAGAAAAAAGATCTTTCGAATTCATTTATTACATTTGCCGATCAGTACATTCTTGTACTTTTATGTGCAAAATCCTTTCATGGCTTTCAAAAACGTCGTTTATTACTCTAAGTAGATTTAGGTCTCTTACCATCTTATTTTCCTTTGTTGTGCCATCTCTCCACGCAAATTCGTTAATTAGTTTACCCTTTGTTTTTGCCGATCTTCCATTACCTTCATTGTGTACCGTGAATGCTATGTTCTTTAAGACGTCTTTTCTCATTATATATTCCAGATAATGAGTAATCTTCCTAAAGAAAGCTATGCTTTTTCAGAGGAACTGGACCTGTATTACTTGTTTGTTTTCTCATCCTGGAAGCAAATTTTAAGCCAAATTGTGCCCTACCAGTCAGGCTACAGGCAACCATCATGATAAAACAAGATTCAATTAAAACTTAAGAAGCGTACAACTCTCATTGGGATATTTCGAAGTCTATGTCTGCAAGATTTATTTTTGTACCCAAAAGGGCTTCTTCTGTCTGCTTTCTGGATTGGTGTAATCAATTGGGACCGAAATGTTAAATCGGAGAATCGAGTTCGAATAGCATTTGGGTTGGTTACCTGCACCCACGCGCAAAAAGAAGACATGAAACAATTTCGTCTTCTGTGAGTTTAAATAGAATGATTTATATCCTGAAAATTCATTGTTACTGTCCGGTATAAAGATTTTAAATAGATTAAAAATATTACAATTAGTGCATAATTTCTTATTTAGCGACCCGTTCGTCTAGCATCCAAGTTTGGAAGTAAACTCAGTCATTAAATGAGAAATGGTTGAACTTTCATTTTTTTACTCCGGTGCAAATATTGTGAACTTTCATAATAACATTTTTAAAATCACAATTCTCTCTTAATTAAAATTAAAATTCACAAATCAGTAACTAAATAAAATGGTCGATTTCAATGTCATTTATTCTGAAGTAGTATTTGTAAATCAACTAAATTATCATAAATCTTATTGCGAACAAGCTACACGTATAAAAACAGCCATCCTCTTTTCCGTCATTGAATAAGCAGAGATAGATAAAGAACCCGAAAAATTATAAATTAAAAATTATAAAAAAAGCGATCGGAGTTGAAAATGATAAATTATCGTCCCATCCAGAATCTAGAATCCCAAAGCAAAACTTTATGAAGTTATCTTACCCATAATTACAAATAAAATGGATACGTCCGCGTAAAAATAAAATCATCATAGGACTTTTTTTTCAAAATGGAGATTATTTTAAAGATATTTTATTTTGAATAAAACTGTTTTACATTGTGTAAAAACACATGAATGAGAAAAAAGAAGGCGTTAAAATTTTAATGAAGATGATGATTTAAGTTAATGTGAAACCTATATCTCAAAGTGCAAAGTGAATTCAAAGAACGCTATCAGACGCTCTGATGGAATAGAGGGAGATTGTTGTGCAAGTGTTTTGGATATAAAAATATATATAATATATTTATATTTGGAGAAAATATATATATATATATTCGGCCAGAATGAAGGACAAGGTAGCACTTTGAGACGAGAAATGGTCAGGCGTTTTTGGATTTTACATAAAATGACACCACTAGCAATTCTGAAAATTTCAATATAACATATATGGAAAATTAAATTGTTATAAATATAATCAGGTGATAAGTTTTGTTCACTATGTATGGAGGAATAATTAGCTATCGCTACCTCTGAACTTAAAATTTTTAAACCAAAATCGAAATTTTAGTAATTGTAAACATAGTAAAGACTGGTTATTGATTTTTATCTCGTTTATTTAACACTTTTTTTTGTCATGTGATTATTTAATTTTTATCAATAAATACTGTTCTGGTGTTTTTATTTTTAGTTTTTTTACCCTGAAATGAAGATTCTTCCAATATTTATAATTGGAATATATTTATTTTTAAATATATAATTATATTTATGCTCTACTTTTATAAAATTTGAAGATGAAATTTAGAAAAAATTTAACTAAATAATAAAGTAAGGGCTGGCCTTGTTTTGATTATTTAGCGTTTTGGAATCAGTTTTTTAAATAATTATATTTATATTTTTACACAAAAAAATAACGAACTAAATACTAAGGGACATTACAGAACACACATTTTCATACACACACACACACGCACACACACACACACACACACACACACACACATATATATATATATATATATATATATATATATATATATAATAGATAATTGGTTCTGTTCCCAGGCTCAGGGTCGACTGGGAACAATTTAACAATTATTGCAATATATATTGACTCACACAAACACCCTACATACAATTAAAGCATAAAAAATGAGGGCACTTGAGTCTCTGTATATTCGGTCCAGGGAGCCGTCTCTTTGCAAGCAAAAAGACTGTCTCCTTGGACTTCACGTTATTAGATTCTAGTGTTTATCATACATTCCCCTCACACTCCCCCATTTTTTGTTGCTGCTTTTCTGTGCATTTTTGCACGGTTTATATACCTTTTTTTCCCCCTCATACCATTAAACATTTCATTTTTTAATGTTTTAATTGTATGTAGGGTGTTTTGTGTGAGTCAATATATATTGCAATAATTGTTAAATTGTTAAGAAGGAAAGTCGACCCTGATGAGCTTGGGAACGAAACCGGTTGGTCTGTTCTGTATGTGTTATCATCTTATTGTTTATTTTCAAATATATATATATATATATATATATATATATATATATATATATATACAGTGTAACCCGGATATAAGAGAGTTGTCGGGACCGGAGAAGAAGTCTCTTATATCCGGGTTTCTCTGATATCCGGGTTTCTCTGATATCCGGGTTTTGTTCTATTTTGTTTAGATAAGTATGGGAACACTTTGGGACCAGAGAAAATCTCTCTTATATCCGGGTTTTCTTATATCCGGGTCTCTTATATATGGTTACACTGTATATATCAGCAAGGAAAAAGTAAGTTTTTGATGGCATTTTAACTAAAAACTAAAACGACCGGTTTCGACCCAGATCTTATCAAGTTTATTTTCTGGGTATATCTTAGACGACTAAAAGGATGAAATGAGGGGGAATGAGGCAAAAAAAAAACACTATCCAATCACATTCAAACCCAACAAGCAATCTGTCTGTTTACAGAGAGAAGGCTTATGAGATCTAACATAAATGGACTCCAATGCTTTAAGATGAAATACTGAGTGCGACCGAGACAGAATGGTAAAACGGTCGACACTCAAACCATACACACATTCCCTACTGTTTATAGCATATATTCTCTATATGTTTATAGAACACACTATTGTTTATATATATATATATATATATATATATATATTAATTGATTTAAAATATGTTTTTTTTCGCATCGAGCACTATTTTGTAAAAATAAAAATATCTATATAAAACACCGGATTATATATCTTACTTTTCTTTTCTTTATATATATATATATATATATATATATATATATATATATATATATATATATATATATAATAAAAAGGCTTAAAATAAAACACTAATATTCCATGGTCATAATTTATTCCATTGGAATCGTAAATACGATCCAATTCCTCAGACCTACAAATTCAAAAAGAATACAGAAAAAAACAACTCCGGAAATAAAAATAGAATTTAGAGAAAGTGTAAGTATGAGAGTGTGGGAAGAATGTTAGAGCTAAAGTGAGGGGTAACAGACGAGAGGAGGTGGGAGATTAAACCTTAACACAGAGAATTTTAGGAGAGGTGAGTGGAAGGGGTTTAAGTAAGAGAAATATGAATGTTGTCGGACGTCTAATACATTTCGTGGTGACATACACACACCATAGACGATCTAATGTTAAAGATCAGAATAAGAGGGAGGGAGAGGAAAGGAAAGAAGAGGTGGGGGAGAGAAATGGGGCGGGGGAAACTAAAATTGAGGGCATTTACTGCAAGGACCGCTGTGTAATTGAGAAAATTTGACAAAATTAATATCGTCTACAGGTTACAAATCAAATCTAAGCATATAAAAAAAAATAAAATTAACGATTATCTAATCTAGCAAGGACCTATATTTTTATGTTCTGCTGACAGAATCTATCTATCTATCTATCTATCTATCTATCTATATATATATATATATATATATATATATATATATATATACAGTGTAACCCGGATATAAGAGAGTTGTCGGGACCGAGAAGAAATCCTATATCCGGGTTTCTCTTATATCCGGGTTTGGTCTATTTTATATACATTAACACAGGCTCTAATTTGGGACCAGAGAAAATCTCTCTTATATCCGGGTTTCTCTTATATCCGGGTCTCTTATATCCGGGTTACACTATATATATATATATATATATATATATTAATGCTTTTTCTTTTATTTTTGGCATTGAGCAATCTTCTGTCCTGTGTTCAATCTTAAATAGATTCTTTTGGGAGATGCTTATTCTTCTTTCTAATTATAAATGCTCTGATATGGTAACCTCGTGGCTTGGAGCAGTAAAATCCTATAGTTTGGTCATATCTTGAGCGTTTTTTGAAAAATGAAAACATTTTATAAAACATAGATACAGCAAACTATTTCTTATTGTAACAGTTAAAATAAAATCCTTGAAAATGGCTAAATGTATAGCCGAAAGCGCTCGGATAAAAAGAACATTCGGACAATTTTTATATAATTTATCATCTGAAAAGAAAAAAAAATATTTGGCTCGCATGAGAAATTGTATAAAAAAAATAAATAAAGCACCTTGTCTGTCGTTTTTAATGAAATGTATATATATATATATATATATATATATATATATATATATACAGAATGAGAAAACCGATAAAACAGATATATAGAAATGATAATAAATAGATAGATAGATAGATAGATAGATAGATAGATAGATAGATAGATATGAACAATGTGTTTATGTCATCAAATGGAGTTATTGGAAATGTCGACGAAAGTCATTAAGAAAAGTGTCCGTGTCTTTAGCTGTATGAAGACACAGACTCTTTTTTCTAATTTTTTTTTTTTTAAATTTAAAGTATCTTTCTAAAAGCTCTAGAAAGAGGTTTTAGAAAAATAGTGTTATATATCAAATTTTTAGGTTATTAAATATATTCAAAACCTAGACGGAAGAAAAAAAAAGCTTTCTTTAATGTAGCTTTAAATTTTTATTCTAAACAAATACTTTGAGAATTTGCAGTCTAAGCTTCCTGAAGGATATGAACATAGAGAGAGATGAACAGAACAAGACAAATGGCTCGAATGATAGAAAGACAGACAGACAGATAGATATCAACAGACTTCGTCCTAAAAAGACTTAGATATGTATGAACAGATAGATATGTATGATACAGGTATATAGATAGATAGATAGATAGATAGATAGATAGATAGATAGATAGGCATGAACAGAATAAGGTGTGAACAAAATTAGATATACAGATAGATCGATCGAAAGACAAGAAAATAGATAGCTATTTTATATATATATATATATATATATATATATATATATATGTATGTATGAAGAAATATAGTTTTAAGGTGGCCTATATTTACGGTTACGGATTGAGAGTATGTAAATATAAATATAAAAGTGAACACTGAAGTCAACACTCAGAGGCCGATCGCCTCTAGCATGAAAATAGATAGATATCAACAGACTTAGACAAGAACATACTAGATATCCTTGGACCAGCATATATATATATATATATATATATATATATATATATATATATATATATATAGAGAGAGAGAGAGAGAGAGAGAGATAGATATAGATATAGATATAGATAGATAGACAGACATAGATATCTACATAGATACATATATAGTCATAAACAGACTTAGGCATGATCAGACTTAGATATGTATGAACAGATAGATAGATAGATAGATAGATAGATAGATAGATAGATAGATAGATAGACACACTTTGGCATGAACAGACTTAGATAGATAGATAGATAGATAGATAGATAGATAGATAGATAGATAGATAGATAGATCAGTCAGTTATGTGCCATGCGTGATATACGCGTAGGCGATCATGTATCTTTCGATACGTGACTGGTGGGGCTAATTTTTTCCCGCGGTAGACCATTGCCATACGAGGTTATAACTATTTACCCATAGCTGAGGGTGGGGAAAAGAAGAGGATATTAGCACCTAAGTGAATGGATTCGACTGGAATTCAAACTCTGTTTTCCGATTTCTCAATCCGAGCCGCTATCCATTACTCAACCGTGCCTCCACACATAGATATGTATATAGTCATAAACACACTTTGGCAGGAACAGATAGATAGATAGATAGATAGATAGATAGATCTATTTATCCATCCATCCTTCCATGGAGCTAGCTAGGGACAGACAGATAAATAAATAATTCAAGAAATCTATGTAAAAAAAATAAGGTATTAGAAGACAAAATGAGTGAATCAAGCAGTTCAGTGTAAAATGATTAGAATAAATAGAGTCGACAAAAAAATGCAATGATTGATCGCTATGCAATTATTCTCACGGGATTTTAACGAGATTTATACACGTGACCTGAAATCAATTTAAATCACATGTCGATGTTAATTCAATTTTTATAAACGTTTTAAACCATTTTAAAAAAGAGTTGGAGAATTTTTTTCTCCAGAATATAAAGCATGTATTTTAGTTCTTTTTTTTTTTTTTTTAAATGGTGCACACTTAATATTTGTGTTTGAGAAAAAATACCATTTTAATAATTGAATTACGACTCAAATCAATAGAAATAGAATCTTGAATGTCTGATCTGTCCGCATTTTAATAATCTATGAAAGTTAATTATTGATGTTAAAAAAGTGGTGATATTTTTTTTTAATATAGAAATGTTTATGAAGTTTCAAAAAAAAAAAAAAAGAAAAAGAAAAAAAAAGCTTGATGTTATTCCATAAATATGAAAATTTAAAAACTTGAAATAAGGTTAAATATTGCTTTTGTGCCCTAACTTTTAAATTTTGTTAAATTTAATTATATGATTGTTGAAGGTAAAACGAAATAAAAGAATATAGACGTGTGTAAAGTTTTCCCCTATCCAGAATTTGCCAAAAAAGAGAGAGACTATAAAAAGGAGAGAGAATATAAAAAAGAGAGATAATATAAAAAAAAACAGAAAGAGACTATAAAAAAACGAGAGAGAATAAAAATCGCTCGATTTTTTGCATATTAACCCACATATTTTTCATGGAGATTTTCAAAAGTATAATTGAAATTGTTTTAACCATTTCACTCTAAGCAAGGCAATAAAGCCACTCGGATGCAAGAGGTTATTGTGAGTGAAAGAAAGAGACCAGATAATAATAGAACCGATTACAAGGAAACAGCATATGACGATTTTTGAAGGACGTAGCAAGCTTTAGAAGTGTTTCCACAACCAAGACGTACGAGATCAGGAACTATTAGGATGCAAAGTACGTTCATAACTAGCAATTTCAAATGGGAAATTATGAGACCTAACCGCCCATCTAGTCAGTCAGTTATGTGCCATGTGTGATACAGGCATAGGCGATCATGTATCTTTCGATACATGACTGACGAGGCAGATTTTTTCCCGTAGAAGGTTGCCATTTATTTGTGCGGTAGACCAGTTGCCATCCAAGGCTATAGAACCCAGTCTGTCCTGCTATTTACCCATAGGTGGGAGGAGAAGAAGAGGATTCATACCTTTCCCAAGGGCCAGTCAGTTATGTGCTATGCGCGATAAACGCTTAGGCGATCATATATCTTTCGATACATGACTGACGAGTCAGATTTTTCCCGCAGTAGGTTGCCCTTTCTTTCTGCGGTAGACCAGTTGCCATCCAAGGCTATAGAACCCGGTCTGTCCTGCTATTTACCCATAGGTGGGAGGAGAAGAAGAGGATTCATAACTTTCCCAAGGGCCAGTCATTTATATGCCATGCGCGATACACGCTTAGGCGATCATGTATCTTTCGATACATGACTGACGAGTCAGATTTTTTCCCGCAGTAGGTTGCCATTTCTTTCTGCGGTAGACCAGTTGCCATCCAAGGCTATAGAACCCAGTCTGTCCTGCTATTTACCCATAGGTGAGTGGAGGGAGAAGAAGAGGCTTCATACGTTTCCCAAGGGCCAGTCAGTTATGTGCTATGCGCGATAAACGATTAGGCGATCATGTATCTTTCGATACATGACTGACGTGGCAGATTTTTTCCCGCAGTAGGTTTCCATTTCTTTCTGCGGTAGAACAGTTGCCATCCAAGGAATTATAAGAACCTGATCTGTCCTGCTATTTATCCATAGCTGTGGGGAGAGGAGGATTAATACCTTTCCCAATGGTTATTAGTACGTAAGTAAAGGTAATGGATTCAACGTGAATTCGAACTTGACCTTCCGATTCCTCAACTTGAGACGCTATCTATTATACCGCCGTGCCTCGCTCCGCCAGTCTTGTACTCTACTTAAATTCATGAAATCCAAGTATGAACAATGGAACAATTACCGTAAAAATAATTATAGAAGAGGTACATGGAATCTACATTACAGCGGTGTGAAAGTAATTGAAGCCGAGATGCCAGATCAAGATTGATAATATAAAAGAAAATGTCTAACCATTTATGTATTACACGTTCTGTCTTTGATTATATCTGACATATAGTTGTTAACTTTAATTGACGATAAATAAAGGATGTGAACAACAAACATTATTAGACATTATTTTAATCAAAAGATTTTCTACGAAAAATACGACAGTTTACTCTTCCCAGACCCATCATTAGGCAATAACCAGGTCATTACTACTTCTCTCTGAGATGAGGTATTATGATTACTTGCATTATTTACATTATTCCAACTGTTATTCTCATTTTCATTGGCATATTAACAACGTTTTGGCTTCTTATCTTCTGAGATGGCCATTTACATTATTCAGACAACTTTTCGGCCTCTATATCTCTAAGACGAGGTATTATGATTACTTGCATTATTTACATTATTCGGACTGTTATCCTCATCTTCATTGCCATATTCATAACATTTCGGCCTCTATATCTCTGAGATGAGGTATTATGATTAATTGCATTATTTACATTATTCAATCTGTTATCCTCATCTTCTTGCCATATTCATAACATTTCGGCTTGTATATCTTTGAGATGAGGTATTATGATTACTTGCATTATTTACATTATTGATCTGTTATCCTCATCTTTATTGCCATATTTCATCTATATCTCTGAGATGAGGTATTATGATTCCTTGCATTTTCAGCCTCATCTTATTGCCATCTATTTCGGCTTGTATATCTTTGAGATGAGGTATTATGATTACTTGCATTATTTACATTATTCAATCTGTTATCCTCATCTTCATTGCCATATTCATAACATTTCGGCCTCTATATCTCTGAGATGATGTATTATGACTACTTGCATTATTTACATTATTCGGATTATTAACCACATCATCAATGCTATATTTACAACCTTTCGGCCGTTGTACGCACCGTCCTTCTTCAGATGATTGGGACCGACCCCTTTATTTCCTCCACGAGGGTAGATTTTTCTAGTTCCACGTGCGATGCCGCTTCCGCATGTCTGAGTTATTTCCCTTTAATTCAACTCTCCAATTTTTTTTCACTACTTCTGTATCCTGGTACTCAACTCAGAACTCTTTGGGTCTAGTCACTGGATCTAACCAAATACCAGACTACAGCAGTTGTGAATCAAAAAGATTTGAGTTAAAGGGTAATGAGTGAAACATGAGAGTCATGACATGTGGAACTAGAAAAATCTACCCGGTGGAATAAATAAATGGTTCTGTTCCATAGCACTGTGGATAAGGCCTTAGTTAGATCCAGTGACAGGATCCAAAGAGTGTGAGTTCAATACCTGTTTAAGGCGGTGGAGAGCTTGGAGAGGGGAATTAACAGGAGATAACTGATAACTGACATCCATTAGACATGCCACGTGGAACTAGAACAGTCTATCCCAGTGAGCGAATTAAAGGGTTCAGTTCGATATCACAACCACCTAAAGAAGGCCGAAACGTTGTAATAAATATGGCAACAAAGAGGAGGACAATAGTCCGAATAATGTAAATAGTATATATAATACCTCATCTCAGAAATATAGACAGATACTGAAAGGCCGAAACGTTGTAATAAATATGGCAACAAAGAGGAGGACAATAATCCGAATAATGTAAATAGTGTATATAATACCTCATCTCAGAAATATAGACAGATACTGAAAGGCCGAAACGTTGTAATAAATATGGCGACAAAGATGAGGACAATAGTCCGAATAATGTAAATAGTGTGCATAATACTTTATCTCAGAAATATAGACAGATACTGAACGGCCGAAACGTTGTAATAAATATGTCAACAAAGATTAGGACAATAGTCCGAATAATGTAAATAGTGTGCATAATACCTCATCTCAGAAATATAGACAGATACTGAAAGGCCGAAACGTTGTAATAAATATGGCGACAAATATGAGGACAATAGTCCGAATAATGTAAATAGTGAACTCTTTTAATGATATAAAAAGCTGGTTGTGAGAAATGACTAATCACTAATTTGATATGGTTATCACTTCGTATAAATCCGTCACAGTCATTAAACATTTCGATATTATTTGCGCAAAAAAAAAAATGGCGGTAAAATGAATACGGTTTTGAATAATTCTTTGTTAGCGCTTTCCTTGGAATGGAAGGAAGAAAAGTATAAAGAATAACAAATGAGAGAAAAAAAAGAGGTACGGGAGAAAATGCATGAAGGAAAAAGAGAAGAAAAAGATAAAAAGAAATAGGAGAGAAAACCATAAATTAATGGAAGAAAGAGGCACGAAAGAATAAAAGAAAAAGGACAATGAAATAGAGAAAGGAGGAATAAAGAAAAAAAAAAGGGAGGCAAATAGGTCAATATATTAGCGACTGAATAGTAAAGAAAAGAGCCTTGAAAAAGGTAAAAAAAAGAGACCGATAAAATGCAAAAGAATGAAGAGAAGGTGGGAAAGACACAAAAAATGAAATATAAAAAGAAAGTTGAAGAGAAAGACACGGAATAAAAAAAACAAAACAAAACAAAGAAAGACACTTGATTAAACAACAGAAAAATGTCAGCGAGAATGAAATCAAAAACAAGGGTCTTTTCTAAATATATTTATTTTCCATTATTATGTTAATAACTTACACTGTTTACATTGTTTGGACTTTTGTCCACATTTTTATTGTCTTATTTACGACGATTTGGCCGTTGTACGCTCCGGCCTTCTTCGGGATATTTCTATATTTCTGTGATTGGGTATTGTGACTATTTGCACTATTTACAGTATCTGGACTTTTATCCTCATCTTTATTGTCATATTTACGACGTTTCGGACGTTGTATGCAGCGGCATTCTTCAGGATGTATCTATATTTATGAGATGATGTATTGAAATTATTTCCACTATTTATATTGTTTGGGCTTTTGTCCTCATCATTATTATCCCATTTACGACGTTTTGGACGTTTTATGTTCTTCTTCAGGATGTGTCTATATATCTGAGAAAAGGCATTCTAACTACTTGCATCATTTACATTGTTTGGGCTTTGTCCTCACATTTATTTTTATATTCACGACCTTTTGACCGTTGTATGTTCCGGCCTTCTTCAGAATCTGTCTATATTTCCGCGATAAGATATTGTAACTATTTGCACTGTTTACATTGTTTGGATTTTTGTTCTTATCTAACAGCAGTCATTCAAACGAAGAAGTTGTTCTGGAGAATTGTCCTAATGAAACAAGACGCCATTTCATGGACCTTTTTTTAAAGTTTTCACAAAGTTGACATAGTGCTCTCCATTGATGGTGTGGCCCTTTTCAACACAAACACTAGACACAACGCGTTTTGCATCCGCAAAATACAGAGCACAGGAAATGGCGTTAAACCTTATTTAAGCTGGTGAGATTGTATGGATTGTCTCTTCATTTCTAATTCAAAGTGATGAAACCGGCACTCATCCTGGATTAGTAAACATTCAAGGAATCTAGCTGGATCTGCTACAAACAGCCTATGCAGTTTTGATCAGTTGTCAGGAGGCGTGACACCCACCGTGCCAAATTTATTGTGCAGTATATTCTCTACTCTGTCACGGGATATGCAAAAAGCATTGGCAATTTGATTTATAATCAATGGCATGTCATCCATCAACAAGTGGCGAACACAATCAATTATTTCCTTGGTGGTGGCCGTTTCAAGAGAGCCAGACCTTGGTTCATCTTAAAGAATCTCGCTTCCCGTCTTAAATTCAGCTGCCAAATTTTGCACTGTTCATGAATCTGTAGCGTCATGCCCTAATTTATAAACCATATCCTCATGAATAGCCTTCAAGATTAAACTCTTCTTTTGCAGGTACTTGGCTGGAACCCGTAACCAAATTTTATCGATTTTTGAAAGAAGACGCTATCCAGTTTCTTTCAAAGTCTTTTTTGAACATTCAGGTGTCAGTTTACCTGGAAGCACACAATGCAGGTATTAATAAGAAGAGTTGAAATTAATGCATGCAAGATTTCACAGCTCAAGCATCACTCCTTCATCGTCAGCCTATGAAGTTTCAGCCCACCACTGTAGATGGAATTAAATAATTCAGGTATTAATAAGAGGAGTTGAAATTAATTCATGCAAGATTTCACAGCTCTACCATAATTCCTTCATAATCTGTCTCTGGACTTTTCAACCCAGCCTCGTATGTTGTTTAATTCTTTAGAAATCAATGTGTTTAAATAGGAAATCATATTTCAAATATTTGAACCGTTAATCTTTTTACATCTCAACTTTTTTTTATGTCTGTGAGTATATTTCCTTTTATAATTAACAAGAGACGAAGTTTTGCTTGTGGATTCTCAATATATTAAAGTGTTAATATCCTCACCATTAGTCCAGGAAAGGCATTATATTTTTAATGCTGAGTTCATAAGTGGATTGTAGAAAAATGTTCAAATGTTTCTTTAAGGATTTTTTAATTCATCTGTTTTCCATTAATATAAAAATGTCAACAATATATTTGGCATATACTGAGGAGTTATTTAAATTATGAAAGATCCCGTTGTTTTTACATGCTTCATATAAAAATTAGATAAAGTGGGACCAAGAGGTGATACCATAGCTATGATGTGTATAAATATTACTATAAGGGCTATAAAATTATACTTGTGTGGCGCAAGATAGATGGAATGTTTGTAAAACATTTGGTCTAATATTAGGAGGTGGGGCTTCGGATGATTATATAAATATACATACATACATACATACATATATACATACATACATGCATACATACATACGTACATAAAAGCTGGCCACTCGTATTCGAGAATACTCGTCTATTATGGCGGCTAGCCAATCCCTATTGCAGACGCCCGCTCAAGCGCATTTGTATTTTATCAACACCCACAGAGCCAACCTGTGGTGCATACTGCAACTATACTGAGAGTATCTTAGTTACAGTTCCTGAGAGAGACCGTACTACCTTGCGTGATCGACATTTTGAGCAAGGCCAGCACGCTCAAATCTTCGGTCACGATGACTTGTGACTCAGTGCTATCACAGCTATCAATAGTTCTCAAGGCTTCCGGCTACCCAATTTCACTCACAAGGGTTGGGTCAACACGTGGTATGCTTTTCAGGCACTTTCCAAGGTGCCGCTCACTAGGATCGCCCTACTCCAAGCTGACGAATTCTTTTTTACTGGTAAATTTTGGTTTTTGTATATTATTTCAATTGTTCGCGACGATGGATTTCTCGCCAATTAAATCATTAACCTTTGTATTTGTTTTTTGTATGAATAATTCATGAATTTGTAAATTAATTGCACCTTTATTGAAATTAAAATAACTGATCCAAATGCAACTTTTGAATAATAAGTGCGACATTACTGTAATTATTGAACAATAATGTTCATGCTACTTTGACAGAAAATTTACCAGTAAAAAAGAATTCGCTTATCACCATATTTGTATAAGAATGCACAATTGTAAAATTTAAATTCAAAATCAGCGTTGCGACAGCTCGCTCCAAAAACAATAACTCATTTCTAATAGCATTTTTCGGATTACAACAGTACATTTTCGTTGTCCTCTTATTACTGAGAGAAAAAACAAGAACAAAATCTATTCCATACCTGAGGATGTCTGTATGAACAGACGAAAGCTTGTAAAAATAATAAGAACTCATGCAACAGGAATTTATAGAAACAAGGATCTTTTCATTCATACACAGATTCGGGGTTTTTGTATATTATTTGAATTGTTCGCGACGATGGATTTCTCGCCAATTAAATAATTATATATATTATATTTTATATATATATATATATATATATATATATATTTATAAAAAAATATTTTTGGAGGTACAAAATCTAATAACAGAAATAAACGTCTGATATTTAATATTACTAGACATTTCTAAAATCGAAGCAAGTTTGGTTTTACCCCGCTCTTCAGGCCTCACGCGAGATTTAACTTAAATGAAAACACTAGAAAATGTGCAATGAGAAGAAAAAGGGTGAAAAAATTGAGGAAGACATACATACATATATATATATATATATATATATATATATATATATATATATATATATATATATATATATATATATATATATATTGGCATATATATATGTATGTTAATTTCAAGAGGATAGAATCCAGGTAGAATTCAATGTCCAGGACAGATTAAGAATATAATATAAAAGGCTCAAACTCTCAATCTTTAGTCTTCATTCCCGAAGAGGTCCAATTTGACATGCTATCATGGTGAGAGGTTATTGAAAAGACAACAGAGTCTAAGCTTTTCACTAGTAGGGCGTTTTCCTTTTTTACAAAGGAATCATGGGTAATTAGATTTGTTCTATTTCTCGTTATCGTAAGATCACGTCACAATGCTTATTTCTCTTGATCACGAGATCTCAACAGTATAAAAGGATGTAAAAAAATTACGACAATATTTCCTTATTATTATTAGATGGATTTTGCATATGTGTCTTTCAGTGAATTGGTTTCGAATTCATATGTTAGTATACAGCACTAACAGGGCAAAGTGAAATGAAAACAGATTAAAGAAAAAAAAGTGTATGCGAGAGAAGGAATAAAAGACAGAAAAATAAAAATAAGAAAGAATGAAGAAATGAATTGTTAGCGAATCGGATTCAGGAATCGGAGAGCCGAGTTCAAATTCCAGTCGTATTTATTACATTCGCTTTTGAACAAATACCCTGGGGAACGGTATGAATCTATTTTTTCTACCACAGCTATGGGTAAAATATCATAACAAACTGTAACAACCAACCTTGAAAGGACAATTATGTATTCAAACTATAATTTGAATAGCTGCTCCAAACCTCAATTGGTGTGGTGAGTGTTAATCAAGAGTGATCTCCCCTTGTTTTGTTACTCTCCTCTTCGGGACAGCTCTTTCTGTTTACTGGGACTATAAAAGGACACTGTATGCGAACCTTGTATTCTCAGTTGTATAAAGTTTCTTAAACCTGCGTTGCGTACTTTTGTCATTAGAGTGAGTACGGCCACATCCCTGAAGACATGGCCAATCGGGGAACGGTTCCTCCAAGGAGTGACAATGCCATGGATCTAAATCTGTTCTGATCAGCTTTCATCGCTGACACCTTTGTAAAAGATTGAAGAAAGAAAAGCATAAAAAAGAAAAAAAGACACTCAGAAAAAATATCGAGAGAAAGGCAAAAGAAAGCATAATAAGAAGAAAGAAGAATAAGAACGTAAAGAAAAATGAAAGAGAGAAAAAATGGCTTTCATTGAAAAATAGAATGTGAAATATATAATATATCCCACCGATTATCGTAAAGAAAATGTAAAAGAGAAAACTAAAAGTGTTAAAATAAAATAAAATCTTGACAAAAAAAAAAAGAAAGAAAGAAAAACTGATTCTGGATAAAAATAGAACAAGCAAAAGAAAATAAAGGGAAGCATAAGATTAAAAAAAGAAGATAAACAAAAAAATAATACGTAAGCATAAAACTATGTGCGCGCATGCGTGTTTGTCTGTGTAAATTAACAAGTGTACTTCCGTTAAACCAACAGCCGATACCTGAAACCAAGATGGCTGTTTGACAACGCTGTATTTGTAACTGTTGTCACTGTAAGAATATATGACAGATTCAGTCTCTTGTGGTCGGTAGAATGATGAATTACCGACAGGACATTATATCGCTGAATACAGCAGCAAAAAAAAGAAAAGAAAAGAAAGCTCTCACAAGATATTCAAATGCCTACTGGTTGATATATTAATAAGAAGCCTCATCAGTATGATGGAAACATTTTTCTCGGAGATGACAGCCATTCGTTCTTGCCAGAACAATTCTTACGTTTTTCTTTAGCCAAGAAAAGTCTATGAGAGGTTTTATGTTATTACAAGATCACGATACGGCAGCATTGGGACATATATAGTACCGGATATTGTGTTTTACCAGAATACTGATATGTTAGTTAGAATATACTTAACTCAGCAGCTAACGATTTCATCTTGACTTTTAAAATGCTCAGTAAATCAGTACATGTCAGTTAATATGTATATATATTATTAAATATATATATATATATATATATATATATATATATATATATATATATATATATATATATAAATTGAAAGAGGATAGAATCCAGGTAGAACTAAATGTCCAGGACATATAAGAAATAATATAAAAGGCTCAAACACAAGGATTTTGATTTTTTTTGAATTTGTAGGTCTGATGATTTGGATCTTGATTACAATTCCAGTGTAATAAATTAAAACCATGGAATATTAGTGTTTTGACTTTTATATATATATATATATATATATATATATATATATATATATATATATATATATATATATAAAACATTAGGCAGCATATATATAAATATTTCAATATAAATCAATCAAAATTGAGATATATATATATATATGTCGGTGTGTGTGTATATCGTCTCAAGTTTTGATTTTAAAGGAAAAAACATGCCTGATGATGAATAGAAATATTCGTGTACTATATTTTTTAACATCAAATTTTAAAACTACAGAAATAAGTTTATCGACAAGGATCAAATTTACTATGGATGAACAGTATTTTAATTATATTATGAGCGATGGATGTGCCACTTAATCCATTTAATTTAATCAGAAAAATTAAATTCTTTCCATATATATATATATATATATATATATCCATATATATATATAAACATATATAAATATTAAGGGGATTTGAATGTAAAAAAAAACATATTTTATTCTCCAGCACTGAACCTAATTTATGAAATATGACGCTTGCGTAACGGTCGGTGTTTATTATATATATATAAATAATAATGATATATATAAAATTTCGACCGTCTAGTGTTTATATTCTGTTGAGGATATATATATATATAAATATATATATATATATATATATATATATATATAGAGATATAATAATATTAGTGGAAAATATACATACATATGCAAATATATATATAAATTCATCATACACTCAGAAAAATTTTCAAAAAAATTTTCCAAGAGGAAGAATCAGAAAGAACTCAATGTCTAGGGACAGAGTAAAGATACCTGTTGGTAAATACTAATATTCCATGGTATTCATATAATTTATTCCATTGGAATCGTAATAACGGTCATGTGACCTGATTTCAAAATGAAAACAGAAAAAAAACATTTTTACGGAAATCAAAAGAATTTAGAGAAAGTAAATGAGGTGGAGGGAGATGAAACTTAAATAGAGAGAATTTTAGTGTTTTGATATTATATATATATATATATATATATATATATATATATATATATATATATATGGATATATATAAGTAAACATATGGATAAAAATAATGAAAAAAGAAAAAATCCGAATATGCAAATATGCTGTTTTAATGTTATTTCAATGTCGACGTCAGACGTTTCGGTCTAGTAGACCCTTCTTCAGGACATAGTTATTAAGACATAATTAACATTAGACGATATTCAAGTCAACATGAAAAGACGATAGACATAAGAGTAAGACTAATCAAAACAGAATAACTGAAATTTTTTTATATAAGAAAATATTTTTCCGTTAAACAATATGAATGACTCAAATGGTTTTCACGGAAGCGCAATGAGTATGCAAAATATATATCTTATCTAAAAAAAAATGAAAAAAAAAGAAACTGAGCCTTTTTTATATTGACAAAACTATTTTGAAGGAATTATCCCATGCTGCTATACGATTAGGACAATTCATATTGACCCATAAATATATTTTATAATATATATATATATTTTATATATATATATATATATATAGGAATATTATTATTTATAAAAAATTATAACATAGGTGATTTTATAACATACTTATGTTATAATTTTTTATAAATAATAATTATATCTGCTCTACTTTGTATTGAGCACTCTTTTAAGAATAGTAATTGTTGGTTATTGGAATTCATTCTGTATATACCAATTATATACTTGGATATATATATATATATATATATATATATATATATATATATATATATATATATATATATATATATTTTTTTCCAATATGTTGATAAATAATATAAAAATTATGAATGTGCATGATAAAATATGAAATATATATATATATATATATATATATATATATATATATATAAGGCAAGAGGGTTTGTGTAACGAATACAGGGCCGCAATTTTCGACGTATTAAAATTAAATTTTACATGCACATGCTCCAATTTATGGGGAAGACCAAGATGACATTGCATTTCCCAACTCCCATCGATAGTGAAAATAATCAATTTTTATATAAAATTTATAGATTTTTGAAAGAATGTTATTTTCAACGCATGACCATTTCAATAGTTATATATATATATATATATATATATATATATATATATATATATATATATATATATATATATATATATATATATATTGAATAGGTCTTCAAGACATTTTCCATGGAAGTATTCATAGTGGAGCGATAGATGCTTCGACGTTTCGTCCCTCGAAACAGGGGTTGTAGAATTGAAAATAACTCATTGGCCACAAGACCGGGTAAACGCATTCGAAATCTTTCAAAGTTGAAGCGTGAAGAGAAATCATTCCAGCCCAGATATGGAATTTTATTTAGTTTATTATTTTCATTAATAATGAGAATTTGTACATACGGTATTCAAATCAAGAGAATAGGGTGAGTGATCAACCAGTTCAAAGCCATAGTCACTCACAGCAGCCACTGAAAAGAAGAATGTGTGTTGGACCATTGTCTTAATGAAACAAAACACCGTTCTTTAGTTTTCCTGGGCGTTTGGTCTTAATAGCCTTTAGTAACGGCACCAGGAAGTTGCCAAATTACCCTGCATTGAGTAGTATAAACAACATAAACAATAAACCCAACGCCTTTTGCTCCCTAAAAACTTAAGTTTTCCCCTTTCCTGCAGATGATCGTCCTGCGTAAGACGTTAAACTACGTCCACGTCCGGTGTAAGACGATAAACTACGCCCAGCAGTAAGGCCTCGAATCAGGAGGTTTTGAGAAGCGTGGAACCACCACTTAATTGCTGGTGTTCCCAGGTCCACCCTGACTTAGGGTGGTAGCACCTGTTAGGGTCCCAGCTATGGGCAAATAACTAACTAATACCAGCAATGCAATTTTGAAGGAAAAATATAACCCAATTTTTGACAAAACAAAATATTACCTGCAATAAAATGTTTTGTCGGCATTAAATAACCCATTGAGGTTGATATGCCGTAAAACAAAATCAACTAAACCAATCTAAAGCAAAGAATAGATATTCTATTCATACGAATCTATCCTAAAAATGTTGTCGGCATTAAATAACCAGTTGAGGTTGATATGCCGTAAAACAAAATCAACCAAACCAATCTAAAGCAAAGAATACATATTCTATTTATACGAATCTATCCTAAATATGTTGTCCGCATTAAATAACTCATTGAGGTTGATATGCCGTCAAACAAAATAGACCAAACCAAACCAAACCAAACCAAACCAAACCCTGCAGATAAAACATTAACCTTCATTAGAGCGAGTGAGCCGAGTTGATTCCACTCTATGGATTGTCTCTTTGTTTCTGATTCAAAGGGATGAAAAACCAGTACTCATCTTGGGTTAAACATTCAAGGAAACCAGTTGGATCTCCCTCAAACAACCTCAGATTTGCTCGTGATGTGATCAGCCTGTGCGCTTTTGACCACGGGTCAAAAGACGAGCCGAAACCCTCGTCCTGCCAATTTCATTGTGCAGAATATCCTCAACTCATGGGATATCCTGATAACATTGGCTATTTGATTTATATTCAGCCATCTATCATCAATCACCATGTGATAAACGCACCGATTCTCGTTCGATCACTGAAGCTAAGCATTTTATTGCCAGGTCTGTACTTAGATGGGGTCCACCTGGGAACACCTGCTACTTTAAGCAACGCACAATGGTAAATTTAATTTTAATTTAATGTTTTTTTATATGGAGATTTTTTGGAGATTTTAGTCCTTGGCTCAGCATCAGATTGAGCTGAAACTTTTTATATTAACCATTTAAGCAACGGAGAATATTAATGTGAGCCGAAAGACTGACAAAAATTCCCGACGGTTATATTCGTTAATATCAAAATTAATTTGGTAGTATATTTTTATAGCATGTATATCTTTCTTGATTTTGTCAATAAAATGCAGCATTTTTTTCTACTCAGATTAATATAGCCGCAACGTTGTTAGTCAAAATTTAGCAATTAATAGCCAATTTAGGTTTGTTTGCTAAATTTATCAACTGGTTTTCGTTTGCGAAAATTTAAACACAGGAAGAAGTGATTTTAATAATATTCTTCAACTTATCGCTCGGTGAATGGGTACTCTCAATTGGCACCGGAAATCAGTGCCTGGAGCCAAGTATAATTATCAGGATTTTAAAAGCATATTTTAAAGGAAGCCACACCGACAGTACTGGGAAAATGGGAGTGACACAGACTTCCTACAACCAATTACCTCCCTGTTCTTGTGCCAGAGTTTTATCGTTGTAATCAATATTCGTGACAAGAAAGAACAATACACTGCTACCGAGATTAAATGTTGAAAGTTGAACTAATTTGTTATTTATATTGATGAGTTTACCTTTGTAAGTATTTAAAATCAATTCGAAGGAATTTGTTATTTTAGATTTTTCAAGAAAATTGATAAAAAACTAATCACAAAAATATAAGAAATATTTAGAAAATTATATATATGGTATATTATATATATATATATATATATATATAATATATATATATATATATGTGTGTTTGGCATTTATGTGTAAAAAAGTACATATATTATATATATATATATATATATATATTTTTCTTTAAATTTAATTCATTTTATTTATCAAAAATTTAGAAACTTTAAACCAAAATGATGAGGAAAAAACACACACAGTTTTTATCTTTATATAAATATTTTTACTTTAGTTTCAATAAATATATATATATATATATAATAAATAAATATATATATATATATATAAAAATATATTATATATAATAGAATATAATTATATCTAATATATATATATATATATATATGAATATATATATACTATAAAATTCATATATATATTTATATATATAACATTTACATATATATATATATGAAATATATAATATATAGAATATATATATATATATATTAGAATATATATATATATTTAAAAAATTTTAAAATAAATTTATATATATTAAATTGGTATATATATTTTATATATATAAAATATAATTCATAGCATTTCATTTATATAATAACATATAGTTTTTAA